AAAATTTCAGACCCTGTATCAGGCCTCAGTAGCAGGTATGAGGTCCCAGGCAAATGGCTGGGGGCACACCTGGAACCCAAGAGGTCAGCTGCCCGCCCAGTGGCCCAGAGTTGACATTGTGGTCAGGGAGACCTGAAATGACCAAAGGAATGCTTGTCCGTAGCTGTCCTGTCCCTTCGGGCCCCTCAATCCTGCCTGGGGTCCTTGAGGGGCAAGGATAAATCCCAAGCAATCCAGGTCAGATTGCAGCTATCCTTGTGCTGGGTCCCCCCAAAATAGGACAAGGCTCGCCAGGGTCTGTGAGTGGCTATCAGACGCACCCCACCCCACCCCGTCACCCCCTCTTCCACTGTTTGGATTTCCTCCACGATTCCAGGCCAGGTCGTGGGAGGGGGTAGGTGGAGGCTGCATCCTGCCCGGGTGAGCCAGGAAGGGCCAAGCGAGGAGCGGGAAGGGAAGCACCGCCCCCACCCCCGCCGAGGCCACACCTGGGCTCTCCAGGCGGGCAGTGGGGCCCAGGCCGGCGCCTGGCTCCAGCGAGTCTGGGCCGCCTCCCCGTGGGGGCCGCCAGATGGGCCTGCAGCCCGCCCAGCTACGCAGGCAGGAAACGGCCGGCTCCGGCTGCCAGGAATGCGTGGGGGCGTGGTCCTTGCTGGGCCCGCCCCCTATGGGAGGGGTCTGTCGTCTTGCAGGACGGGCGAGCTCCTAGGAGTGTGGGATCAGGGCTCTGCCACTTACTAGGTGAATTGTCTTGGGAACGTCACTTACGCGCTCTGCCTCGCTTTTCCTGCCTGGAAAACGGGCTGTTTATCTCAGCTCCTTTCTGCACACCGACCTCAGGACAGATTTTTTCCTTTCTGTTCTTCACCTTTCTTGCCTGGGAACTGGGAGGAACAATTGTACTTCTTATGGCCATGAGCTATCTCCACTAGGATATGAACTTGGGAGAGGCTAAGTCTTTGTTTTCCTCCCAACCCTTGAAACACAGGGCACTCCATATTTGCGGTATGGATGAATATAAAGGTCTGGGACCATCCTAAGGGTCTGGTATATAGTACGCATTTCACAAATGGACACACGTTACCAACGCTGTGGCTTCAGACAAGTGACTTATCTGAGCCTCGTTTTCCTCATCTACCTGCTGGGCTGCTGTGACACTTAAGTGAAGTAAATAATCCATGGAAAGCACACTTAGAATATACCCAACAGATGATATTTGTGGAAGAGTCTCCAAAATGTGCAAAAAGTAAATTTGAGGGGTAGGAATATGCAAAGGAATTGGGTGACGGGAGAAGGATTTTGCTATAAATGTAAACTTTTGTATATTTTGTATTTCTAAACTTTTGAGCTAGGTGGACATATTTCTCAAAAATGAATACAATGTGGGGCCGGTGGTGACGTGGTAATTAAGGCACTGGAGTCTAGGCCAGCTTCAGTTCGAGTCTCAGACCTGGCAGCTTGTTTTCTCACTTCCCTTTCTCTATCTCTCTGGTTAGATGAAAAAATAATAATAAATGAAATTAAGTAAATAATTCTTTTTTAAAAAATGAATACAATGGAAAATAAAAAATCATGCTGGGACCAACAGATGGTGTAACGGTTATGTCGCTGGACTCCCACAGCAGTTTGAGTCCGGTCCTGGCGGCTTAAAATTCAAGCTGGGCACATGTGCTTGCATGCTCAAGATCCCAAGAGGAGAAGGGATTGCGGTGTGGTTCTGTCTCTCTGGAGAGCGCATGGGTCCTGTAGCAAAAATCTTTAAAAAAAAAAAAAAAATTCTATCCTAGAATAAAATAGGGCCAGCTAGTCTTGTGGTGGTTGAAGTAGCTGGATCCCTTATGGCCAAGTACATGATTTGAGTCCCAGACCAGGCAACTTGAAAACACAGTGGGCACTTGTGTATGCGTGCCCAAAATCCCAAGAGGAGAATGGAGGAGAAGAGACTGCAACATGGCATCTCCCTGGGGGGTGATTTCTCACTTTTCCTCTCATATCTTTGTCTCTCCTGCACATGCATGCACCCTATGGCAAAAAACTGTTCCAGTCATGTGTGCCCCAAATCCTGAGAAGAAAATACAAGGGATTATGGCATGGCCATTTCCCATGAAGGGCACTTTCTCCCCCTCTCTCTGTCTCTGTTTCTCTGTCTCTGGTGAGAGCATGCACCCTCTGGCCAAAAAAAAAAAAAAAAAGAGCAGCTACTACTATTAAGCGTTTACTGGGGACCAGCAGGTGGTGTGGTGGCTAAGGCAATACCATATGGCCAACTATGGTTCGAGTCCTGGACCTGGTAGCTTGCTTTCCCACTTTCTCCCTCTTTCCTCTTTCTCTCTCTCTCTCTCTCTCTCTCTCCCCCCCTCTCTCCCTGGTCAAATTAAAATAAATGAATGAATGAATAAAATTAAATAATTTTTTTTAAAAAGCGTTTACTGTGCCAAGCCTCATTCCATGTAATTCCATGTACATCCCATGTAATGTACATGCATTACATCTTTTTTTAAATAATTGCTTATTTGATTTACTTATTCTTTTTTTTTTTTTTTTTTTTTTTTACCAAGGAGA